GTCTTTATGTGATCAATTTCACTTGTAGCTTCCTCAAAGAACTCAAGTAGATTCGTTAAACAGGATCTACCTCTCCTAAATCCATGTTGGCTATCTTACTTTATATTTCTCTCTCTGCTGCTAGATCAGTATCTGCTACACCACCCACCTTGGTGTCGTCTGCAAATTTAACCAGTTTACTGTATGTATTTGTGTCAATATCATTAATGTAAATGTAATGTAATTGTTAGGAACAATAGTGGTCCTAAAATTGAACCCTGCGGTATCCCACTATGAACGGAGGCACTGTGACATTGTTTCCTCACTTGTCATCTGCAAAAAGCAAAGATGCGATTCTGAGGCCCCCGAACCGGACCTCCTCTGCTCCTTGGCTATGCCTAGAAATGTTGTCCATAAAAGTTATAAACAGAATCGATAACGTAGGGCAATGTCCACACAATGTTGAAGAGGCTTGTTAGCCAAGACAGCCTTACAACATCAAGAGCTTTCAAGAACTCAGGGTGAATCTCATCCACCCCTGGAGCCCTACCACTGAGTAGTTGTTTGACTACTTTAGTGACCTCAGCCCCGGAGATGTGCAAGTCCTCCTCTGAGTCTTCCAGCTCTACTTCCTCAGAGGAAGCCAGCTTGGCCTGCTGATAACTGTTCACTGCTTCTGGAGTACCACGAACTAACCAAGCCCTGAAGGCCTCCATCTTCATCCTGACAGCTCCCTTTATCGATGGTGTTCACCACCACAGTGTTAATTTTGACTGCATATTTTGATTTAGATTTAGTCTTATTCCTTTGATGAAAATGCAACTTAGTTTTAATCATATTTTAGCTATCTGATTTTTTTTTGTTTTAGTCTAATTTTAGTTAATAATTACAGGATATTTGTACATGCAGTCAAATGAAACAGACTAAATGAAAAAGAATAAAACAAAAAGGAATAGGATTACGGCAGTGAGAGTGAGAAAGCGTGAGCGTCACATCAGATGCATGAGAGTTAGCAACCCTGGATCATCGGGATCAAAACCGGGGGCACAGAACCCTACAAATGGGAAAGGCCACAAGCAGAATTGATGTTAACAAGGACGGAGGAGCACTTTTATACAAGAACTAATAAAGGAACATAATGAGAGGCAGCTGGACTGAATCACACAAGTGCAGGAACGAGAGGTAAGACAAACGTGTAACAGAATCAGAATCATGCTGACCGAAATAGCAGAACAGAGTGGAGCAGGGTTCTGCCTGACGCGATGATTTCCAAACTAGTGTTATCCAATTACAAGCATGTGTATGTGACAGGTTGAAATATTGGGTATTGCTTTCCATATGAACGTGTGTACCTAATATTACTTTAATTAGGTCTGAGGGGGAGAATTTGTTCAGGACATACGTTTTGCTGACGTTTATGTGGTACTGGGAAGTTCAGATTCCACATTGGTGGCGTGGTTGTGTGGCTGTTTAAGGCAGCGTGGGCAAGGGCATTTTTGTCCATCAATAAGTGCACCCAGCTTGTGCCACACTGGGGGTATATCACTGTGTGCCTCCTGTTTTGCGGAATCAGTGTTTGCTTAGGTAGGTCGCTTATTGCATCTCCTGAGCCCTGGCTAGATTGCATTTCTAATTTAATTCTGGTCTCTGGCTTCTGTTTTTTTCCGAGTGAGCAAGCCCGTTGGAGTTTGCAGTGTTCCTAACCTCTGCTATCAGGGTAGTGGTTTCAGCATATTGGTGAATATGTGTGAGCGTATACTGCCATTTATTGCATACTTTGGTGTGTAATGTTGTTTTCTCATTTTGTAATGTTTCACAGGTTTGGCTACATATGGCAACGGGAGTGATTGTTGCTCCCTTGGTTTCCATCTTGCAATCCCTGGTGATTCTGCTGCTTTGTCTACATTAAAGTTTGGTTTCTGTCCTGTGTCTGCGGTGGGGCAGTTTCTTTCTTTTTCTTTTGATTAATTAATGTTTCATTTTGTTTTATTGTACAGGAGCAGTGGAGTTGAAGCAGCAGGCTGAGTTGTATGGAGGATTTTCTTTGTGTTGCACAGGTTTCCACTGGACAGGTGTGTTCACGAGTGGTGTGTAGTGTCTGGAAGGTGCCTTCTTTTCAGCCGGCCGTGGTGAGGTCAATGGGTGCTCCTTGGTGTTTGTTTTAATAGCCTAACTGGTTTTAATCTACTGAATGCAGCAATAATTTTATTTTCGATGTGAAAGTGTGTGGGAGGGCTGGATGCTGGTATTCTCGATTGCGGATCAGTGTGGTCATGTAATTGTTTTAATCTGCACTTTTACATTGCTCAATAAATTGCTGTATTTTCGTGGGGAAATCATGTCACTGGTGAAATGAATTTGTGTGGTCTTCTTAAATTGCCTTTATAAAAGGTATTCCATCTGGTTG